AAAAAAGCAAAAGAAAAAATCAACTACTACATCAATAAAGAAATCAAAAACAAAAAAGAAGCTCATTCTATAACTAATAACTGAACAAGTAAATAGTTAAATAAGATTTAGCAATCTCACAGAATTCTTTTCATTATTATTTATAAATACATGAAAAAGAATAAAACTATTTTCTTGAAGAATTATTTCAAAGCACAACTCAAAATTTTTCCAATAGTCACACAGAGCATAATCAATAAGTTTTATTATAAGATGAGAAAAAATTTCAAAGTGAATATATGAAATAGCCATTGCAAAAAAGTAATAGAGTAGAAAAAAAAACAAAATATTATTAAAGAGAACAAAAGAATCAAAAAACCCAGATATAGATTCAATATACAAATTATATAAGAATAGTAAGAATCTATATTTTCAGAAAATCCAGAGCAAAAAATTTTTGAAAAAAAGAGGGAATTAAGTATATAAAAATTATTAAGGATTGGATTTGTTATAAAAGAAAATGGTTTGGTTTTTAATTGCAATCAGAATTTAGAATAATCTATAGTAATAACATATAGGTAATGATTTTATTGGTTAGAGGATTTATCCAAGTTAGTAAAAGAACAAAATATTATTTATTAAGTTATATCTAAAGAAATAGTTTTTTGACAATGGGTGAGTTAGTATGTGAAAGTCAAAAACATCTTATAAATATCTTTATATATACAATAAAGACAAGCCATACTGATCTGACTGTGGATTAAAAAAAATAATAATAATAATTTTATATATTATATATATTTTTTATTAATTCTTTGATTACATACAAAAAGAGATGTTTATAAGAAGTTTTTATACTTCTCTACTAATAAAAACTTAATATTTTTTTTAAAATAAGTTGAAGTATAATTTCAAAAGTCATCTCTATTTTTCCTTTTTATTTACAAATCTTTTTACTTAAAAACTTGACTTTTAATGATCAAAAAAAAATCAAGTAACACTTTTAATATCAATAGTAAGAAAGTTTTTTTAAAAAAAAAATTGACTATAAAGTATTTGAAGATCTTTTTAATCTTTAAAACAAGAGATTCATAGAAGTTTTCTATAGTAAAAAGGCTTATTTTCTTTCTTTTTGACTGTTTTGGTCCTTTTAAAGCTTTTATTTTTATGGTTTTTTAGGAAATTTTGTTTATCTCAGTTTGAAATGAATTTTAGATAATACAAATTCTTATTAAAAATAATTGACTAATACAAAACATATTAGTTTTTAATCACATTTATATGTTCTGATAATGTTATTAATGATTGAAAAGAATATTCTGAAAATGTTAGTATTTAAAAATCCAAATTCCTTAATAAAGACATCCATAATATTAAAGATTAAATAATATGAATTATAAACTCTTATTTTTTACTAAGTTCTTTAGGTAATAATAGAGCTTTAATAGAAAAAGCTGAGATCTAAATGCTTTTCTTGAAATATTTCAATTCAATGTTTATTTAAATAAAGGATTAATTGGATTGACTTGTTCAATATTATAAGGAATAAAAAAATTTTTTTTTTAAAAAATTTAAGTAAAGCAAGAAGGCTATTTCAATCAAACAGACCCCTTTTGAAAAAAATTATTTTTATTTTTGGATTTTTTTGGTGAACCTTGAATTGTTTTCTTTTTTCAATTATTTTTCTTCTTTTTTCTTTTTAATTTAGCAATTTTTTGATTTCTGAATTAATAAATAGTAACAAAAAAAATTTTTTTTTTTTTTTATATCTTAACTGATGGATATGGATCTTTATTGAGTAGTAGTAGGCTTTTTAATTATATGAGCTATTCACCTAATCTATTAACCATACTAAATCTAACTCTATATATTTGATACAGTATATTTTACCAATTTTTGATATCATTTTATCAATTACATTGCTTTACCCAAGCATCTATCATTCTGAGGATTTACTAGAGAACTGATATTGAAATTAAATGGAGATCTTCATGGTATGTATTCCTTAGAGAGTAGTAATGTTCTTATTGTTGTGGGTATTGTAGTAGATTCTTTACCATGTTAAGTCCTGAGAAGGCTAGTTATATTCTAATGCGTACAAGGCCAATGGTATGTGTAATATCTCAATGATTTAATAATGTGCCTTTGTTAATCAATATATAGTCTTCTATTATATTATTTTTAATCACTCTTCAAATATAGCCTTTCAAGTGTATTCATTGATCAATTGAAACCTTGCAGCTTCTCCCAAATATGTCCATTACTGTGGTTCCCATCATGACGCTACTGCATAATTACCAGCTGGGATTAAAATTTCATAGATCACTTATGTTTTTTTTTGAGGGACAAAATTCATAACTCTTCACTTTAATAGGAATAAAAGTCAGGAAATACTATAAATTAATGATTTGGATAATGGAGAACAATTATGGATAGTTTTTTTATAATGTTTCTTAATAAGTGATATTTGACTTTTGTCTCTACCTCCCCCTTTAGGGATCCATCTTTAGCTAAGATGCAACTATTCTTTCTGGTAGCCATTGGTTCAATAATCATATAATCTCCTATATGCTGTGCCAGTTTATACTAGTTATCTTTTCAATTGGTATTAATGACCTAAGTCTTTCATCTTCCCCAGAGGGTGTTTTTTGAGAAGAAGTGGATTTCCTATATATCTATTGATAATATTGGATCAATCAAAATCCTTTTTGACTTACTTGGTGTCTTTTCCATATTTTGAGCAACAAGGATCTTCATTTTCTTGATATTAAAACTAACCAGGACTTGTATGACCTGATTTGTTACACAATGATCAAATAATAAGTTTTCTATAGATTGATTATATACAAGTGTACATATAGCTGAATAGTATATAACTTGTATAATGTAACCTATATTGTGAAAAACTACTCTTAAATGTGATTGAACTGGTATTTCACAAATTGTGACCTGGGAGTACACACATTGTACTATTAACCTATAGGTCTTAAATAGTAACAAATTATTGACAATAATTCTGATAAATAGATTTTTTTTTTTTACAAAGTGACTAACTTGTCATTATACATTATTAGTTAAAGAACTATACTGCTTAAAAAATATAAGGAGTCCACTAAGATACAATAGTTTGAACTAAACAAAATTAAGTCTAAACTAGGTACTCTAAGTCAGATTTAGGGAACAATATTATACTCTTCTAGTAGCTTGGCATAGTGTCTCTAAGTTAATCAGAGCCATTGTCAATAGTTTGTTACTGTCGATTATCCCAAAAAATAATGAATTGCTAAAGTTGATGCTAGGAAAAAAGTGAAGGGGGAATATAATTCAAAGCTCTTCAAAAGGTTTTTGCTCCATTTCACAGTCTTCTTTCGAAAGAGGTTTACCTAATTGAGATATTCTCTGAGCTTTATAACATTTAAGGAACTTAACTATTCCTAAAAGTAACTTCAAGAAGAATGTTTAAGGAACTTATTCTTCTACTGATATATGGATTCACTTATCACTACTGAAGTCAGCATCATATTACAGAAAAGTTTGTTTGACTGAAATAAAGAAATCTTTTCAAGAACTTTACCTGACTGGAATAAAAGCTTGGAGACCTTAGCTTTTGTTCAAGAAAGTCTTTTCACCATCTGAGGAACTTAATAAAAGATAAGAGTTAGATCTTCCTTTCCTACTTATTACTTGTTTTTTGGTATTATAATTGTTTCCTGAAAGTTGAACATACATAATTGGACGGAACATTTTTTCTAGAACTTTCTTTCCTATATCACTAATGATGTATCGAGATATATAAGTGTGATCAATAGAAGCTTGTTTATATTTCAAAAACTGATGTATTTCATATCAACTAATCATTTTTGATGAGGATTTGTGCTACCCAAAATTCAGGGTCAAACTGAGATAGGCAAAATTCCTCAGAAAATCATAAAAATAGAAGTTGTAAGAGGGTCAAGACAGTCAAAAAAGAAGGAAGTAAATCTTTTTACTGCAGAAAACTTCTATAAGTCTCTCACTTCAAAGATTAGAAAGATCTTCAGTTACTTTACAATCTGTTCTTCTTTCTTTGAGAACTTTCTTACTGTTGGTATCAAAGGTGTTACTTGACTTTTCTTGATCATTGGAAGTCAAGTTTTTGAATAAAGAAATTTGTAAACAATAAGGGAAGAATAGAATTGACTCTTGAAGTCATATTTCAAGTTGTTTTAAGGAAAGTGTTAAGACTTTAAACTTTATTAGCAAGAAAGTGTAAAAACTTCTTGTGACATCTTTTTTATATGTAGTCAGAGAATCACAAAAAAAGTTTTTAGTTTTTGATAGATAAATATTATAATCAATCTATCAAAAGAGTATAATATTGTTTTCAAAATCTGATTTAAAGTACTTATATATGAAAACGAGTTAATTATATTGTAAAAGTTTGTAAACTATTGTTGATTTTGTTTTAATTTGTCAATAAAAACAAGTTATTATAGTATGATTATAAGTTAAAAAAAAATTGAATAAATAAATAATAATAATAATGATAAAATTTGAATATAAAGATATATTATTTAACTAAATTTTTATTAAAAATTAACTACTGAAAAAAAAAATTTTTTTTTTCTATTATGGTTTTACTTTAATAAATAATGAATATCAGTTACTTTGAAAAACATGATATTTAAAGATAAGATATAATTATAAGTATTATACATGTTATTTCTGATTCAATATAATAAAAATACTTCCAACATTTTATTTACTATGGCATTTATTTATTATCAAGATTTTGAAAATTCTGCCTTTTTAATGATCAGGCAGCAATTACAATTTCTCAGTTAACTAGAAGTGCAATTTTTTTGTGGAAAGTCGGCTAGCTGAATACAAGAGTGATTGTATTTTATCAGATGCGAGTAATCTCGCAAATGAAGTAGCAAATACGCGAATTCTTTTAATCATTATATTTTCATTTTTTATTAGTTATTATATCGCATAATTTCAAAAAAGAAAAGAAAAGAAGAAAAGAAGAAAAGAATGAACTATGTTGTTGACCAGCCATTGGAATTTGATTGCACGTAATGATCATCTATGTCTTCGTTTTTGTATTGAATGTACTCGCTGTCGTGAGCCGAATAAGATGCCAACAAACTATCGGAAGATGTGGTTTGAGCATCCGACATCATCGCATCGTCCAACGATGATGATTCAGTCGAAAATAGCCCATTTTCATCGATGCGTTCGGAAAACGATGCACCGTGATATTTACCATTCGAATCGGAGCTGTTAAGTGGAGTTTTTTTTTCTACCAACCGTCATTTTATAACGACATGAACGCGCATATTTGGACGGACCACCTTCGGGTGGTATTGGTATTTTATATGTACATTCCTCATCGTCAGAGTCCTCGTATTCATTCTCCGGTGCAATGTTTTTATCTCTTATCCGTGCTACAAAATAGTACACACACATTCCATGATTAAGGCTTCAACTTGAACAGAACCACTCGACACAAAAGAAAAAGGTCACTCATACTTGATATTCGTTCATCGGGGTCTTCGTTTTCCTCATCCTGATCCTCGAATGAATACACCATTTTCGGTATATCTGTCATGCGAACGATAAAGTTATTAAGATTATACGAAGCAATGAAAGGGAACTAAGGGTAATGATTATCAACCTTGCATCTGAACGCTAGGCGTGTGTCTTGATCTATCCAAATTTTCAAATACCTTTAACCTGATTAAAGTTGAGTTCAGAAGGCACGTCAGCGATGAATACAAAAGTCAATGAATGAGACGACAATAATAATACAGACATTGTCTTTTCTAAATATTCCCGGGAGTTCTTATTTTCCATATTACTCGACAAGACATCTAGTAAGTTACTGGTGCCAAAGTAATCTCGACCATCTAATTCGGTACAATGTGGCAATTCTATAAAATAAGAGACGAGTTAGAAAAATGGATGGTTGTGACTAACGAGAAGTATAGGGAGAATGTTGAAATGTATTACCGGGTCCGACTTCTTGCCCAACTATAACACCTGTTTCATATGCCCAAGCCCTGGATACGTTACTTATGGTGTATCCACCGCCACCCAAAACCAGCATCGGTATATTAAACTTCTTGACAAATCGCACACAATGTGCGTGACCTGAAAAACCAACAACAATTCTTGAATAACCTAGATCACGTTAACGCGCTTTATGGATCGTCAACGAAAATTCAAGACTTACCCTTGGACGATAGATTAAAACAACCTAAACGATCCCCGCTCAGCGAATCCGCACCGCATTGAAGAACGATTACCGAAGGCTGATACCATTCAATCACTCGCGTCACCACCTGAAATTTTGAAATGCGTATTAGTGAAGGGACTGGACATGAGTAGAAAACACAGGTTCACGGATCAAATATACAAACCGGTTCGAATACACTTTTGTACGTCTCGTCGTCTATACCTTTTCTCAGAGGAAAATTTACGGCGTGATATTTACCCTTTCCGTAACCAACGTCCTGTGTTGACGTGTAGAGTGAGTATGTATGAGTGCGACCCTGTTACCAAGTTCGATAACTCCAAAGAAACCCACCGCCATTCTTTTCTATCCGTTCATCGGTTCATTCCGAATGTGTTATGTGCAAACGTACATTAATATCTCCCGTACCCGGAAAATATTCACCAAAATTGTGAAAACTCAGAGTCATCACACGGTCGGTGGTGTAGAAAGCTTCTTCAACCCCATCTCCGTGGTGGATGTCGATATCGATGTAGAGGACGCGTGAATGGAATCTATTCATCAATTAAAAGCTTGCGTAAAATTCGGTGATTCTATAATAAAGTGTACAAATAAAAATATATCATACTGAAAGAAAAAGGGAAAATGGCAGGGAATGGTTTGGAAACTACCTTAATAATTCCAAAATTGCTATGACAATATCGTTGACGTAGCAAAATCCACTAGCTTCTTGCTTCTTGGCGTGATGTAAACCTCCTGCCCAATTGACGGCTATGTCGCATAGCCCGTGATTTAATCTTGCTGCACCCTCTATTGATAGAAAAAAATTTTTGAGTCAATGTATAAAAACCCGTAAACATTCACCGTGAATGATTAGAACTTTCATATTGATAAAATTGAAACTTCCGCTGACCTAGAGAACCGCCTGCCGCTCTCTGACAATATTCCAAGAGCCCATCAAATGCCGGACAATCGTCTCCAACGTTGACTTTGTATGACGTGGGATAAGGAACGAGCACGTCAATTGAGTAAGCTTGATGAAGAAGAAAAGCTCGGTATGACTTACATCTTATGCAATCTTTTATGCACGTGTCCATATTATCGGCCGTCACCCTGCCCAAGAAGTTAATATAATCGTCGGTGTGAAATTGCGTCAACTCCTCTATAGTGCTTGGCTTCGGTCTCTGTTCGCAGAAGATGTAAGTCAAGGACTCATGAAGATAAAAAAAAAAAAATCGAACCTCGATTTCAGAAATTTGGCAACATCCAAGAAAAATGGATGACACCACACCACCAAGTATAAATTAAGGATACAAAAATTTCCATCTTATCGCATAATCCATATTTCATTACTAGGTTGTGAGTCATCCTCACCCTTAAGGGTTTCATGGGATGCCCGGCTCCGTGATTAAAACTACCCACGACGTCTGAAATAAAATGTCAAAAAATTTCAACTTAATATCCTTGATGATAACCTTTTTTAAATTATCCCCCTTCCTTGATATTGTTGATACTGGACCAAGTGGAACTAATATAATAACACCAGTATCAGAGAACACTCCACCCTTTATACGTTATATTTTTGACGAACGGTCAGACTTACAATCATAAAAGTAGTTTATTCGCTTTTTTGGTTCCAAAGTCATTGTTTTTTTTTTCGTTCGGTAACAGAAAGACCAGCACCTTTACCGTGTTTGGACCAATACCCTGGTTATGAAATGTACGCAAGTTCCACTTTACCCTCTTTCAAATTTTTATCACAGCTTTATTATTCAAAACATATATATATTTTTAAAAATTTCCAGCTCAATGTTTATTGAATTGACATCGATCAGAGTTTACAACAGGCATAAATGTTATACAATATTTTATATACTGATACGTACTTTACCAGAATTTTGCCCTGATTTTCAGTTTATATGTCACATACCTGATTGGTGCACAACCTGATGTAAATTTTGCCTGGTACTAATAAAAAAAGCTGGCAGTGGACATACTAATTACATTTGGATCCCTCTCTGATAGTAAATAAACCGAAAAATATAAAAACACCAAACACGTAGAGAGTAATTTCCAAGAGGAAACGTCAGAAATTCAAGTATCGAACTATTGAATGTGATCTTTCAGTGAAAACGCGTTCGGAAGTTCTTCAACTTGGCCACGAGCGATAGTCATTTTGAAAGGAGGGTTGATTCGATGGGCATATACAAAAATAATCTACGGTTATGAAAATCAAAACAGATGACGACATAAACCATATGACTGACTTTTCATCAGGTAACTTTTCAAACCTTTCAGCTGAACGATAAGGAAATTTCCGCCCCATAAAAAAAAAAAAAAAAAAAAAAAAATTTTTTTTTTTCTTTCTCCAGGATGTTTTACGACACCAGGTACCTTTAAATGGACCTCAAAATTTGGGGGGTTAAAGCAGAGCAGGCACAAGCACGATGGTGGCACATCGGTGCATCTTAACTAAAGACCGATGAGATCTACATTGATCAGCCATTTGGAGAAATGTCTATTTGAAACAGTAAGTTTATTTCATGAAGATTTGGAACGTATGAAATGGTATAATGACAAGAAATAAAGTAATTAAACTGAGAAGTGAAGGAACAAAGTTCTTATTTTGAAATGAGGCCTTTTACCAAATATTTCAAATGTTCAGTGGCATCCTACATTTTAATTTGTTGCAGAAAAAAATTTATGTTGCAAAAGTGGCTTTACTTTTTCCTCTTACATCACGGAAATTCCATTTACTCATTGACATTTGTTAAATTACTGTAAATGTATCTATCAAGAAGACAAGCAACCGGCCAGAAGCTTGAGGAAAGAGCAGAATGCATTCTCAGATGGCATTACTTTCTGTACCACAATTGTGTAACCTGTGTGAAAAAATGGAAATGTGCCATTAGAATTGGAAACTATCTAACCAATCCGCTTAATATGGCACAATATTACAATATAACTTACTCTGGACTTTCTCATCTTCTTTTGTAACTGAAGTACACCATACAGTAGTGCTTCTGCAGTCGGTGGACATCCAGGGACATAAATATCGACCGGCACAATTCTGTCGCAGCTAAAAACGTAATGGGTTACACGAGAGCGTTTTCGGAGGTCAGATGGTTAAAAAAAAAAAAAATCGAATAGATACCTCTATTAGAAATAGTTACCCTCTGACGACACTATATGAATAATGGTAATAGCCACCACCGTTTGCACAAGAACCCATCGAAATTACCCATCTGGGTTCAGGCATCTGTGAGAATTTTTATTAACATGTGACTTAATTTTTGGTGGCAAGTATTGGGTGAGATGGTCCTTACCTGATCGTAAACTTTTCTCAGTGCTGGTGCCATCTTGTTAGTTAAAGTCCCTGCAACTATCATAACATCCGATTGGCGGGGAGACGCTCTAAAAACAATCCCCATACGGTCCTGATCGTATCTCGATGCCGCCATGTGCATCATTTCAACTAGGAATAGTTTAGATGATAAGAACCACTTTCTTCTTTTCAAATGTAAATTAAAGAGCTATCTAAGGATGCATTACCAGCACAGCATGCTAAACCGAAAGTCTATTTGAACAAATAAAATTAATTATTTGTTTCGTGAATTCATAAAATAGGATTAATCCATATAGAGATTACCATTGGCCAAATGGAACCTTGACGAGCATAATTGACTACTTTATCCACCGTAGATAGCACATACTCTACAGTGCGAATGAATCCCATTATCATTGATTTAAAATCGTAAATAAAGAATATTGCCGATAATATACGGAGGAACATGTTTTACCGGCAGTATTGGAAGGTTGAGCAAGTGCAAAATCGGGCGCTGGTCTCTTCTTGGGTGCATTGGTAGCTGGTGAAGAGGGCACATTCTCTGCGCGGGATTCGGTCGCTAAACCTCGGTATTTCCCGTAACGGGTCCTCGCCGTGCTGCCTATTTTAAATCGAGATTATGCGTGCAACAAGAATTATCAACCAAGATTGATTACCAAAAGTTATGATTCAAAGGAAGCTTCCCAGGTTTGAACGGGTGTTACATAAAGTCAAGACTAACCGTGGCTCACCTTCCTTTATTTCGTGAATTCGAGTACCTTTATGTTGAGAGACCGCCAACAAGACCTGCGCCAAATTTGCTAAGAATTCCAGAATACCCTTGTGAAAACGTTAATTCAGGTAAAGTTTAGAAAGTCGGAATAGCAACGTACACGTCCCCAAGGGAGTCAATCTTGGCAAGTTAACTTTCGAGGAAAGCATATTAAGAATTTTTATTAACTTTTTTTTTTTTTGATATTTATGATATAAATTTAAAATTTATATTTGATTGGCTAACTATACTAAAATTGAGTAAAGATTAATTTAATTATACTAATTCAAATATTTATTGTATTATAATAAAAAAAATTTTTTTTATTAATCCACAACCATGCCATATGGTTTAATAATTATTTACAATATTATAGATTTTTCACATAATGATCAACTTATTATTATATCAAAGTACTTTAAGTCAGATCTTGAAAATAATGTTTTATTCCTCTAAAGAATTGATATAAATCTTTATCTACTAAACTCATTGTTAACTATTAATTGTTCAAAAATTATAAATATTAAGTTAATAAAGAAAAAATAAAAAAGAAAAAAGAAAAGAAAAACAATTCAAAATAATCTATTAATTGAATACTTTTTTTTTTAAAAGAAATTTATCTAGTTAATTCTTTTTGCTTTTACTTGAATCTTAAAATAAATTTTTTTTATTACTATCTGTGATATTGAACAGTTAAATCCATTATTTAAATAAGTATTAAATTGAAATAACTTAAAAATCTTAGTCTTTAATTAAGAAAATTTTTTTACTACTTGAAAAACTTTAAAAAAAAAATAAAGGCTATAATTTATATTACCAATTTCTTATTTTTTAATATTTTTAATATCTTTTTTGAAGACTTGAAATTTTTTAAAAAAATCAATTTTTAAAATTTTCTTTTTAATTATCACTAATATTATCTAAACAATATAAATATAATTAATAAAAGTTTATGGATATCACAAGGCCTAACAAAATATCTAATTTTATATTTTGATAATCAGAGTATGAAGGAAGTCACAAATAGTGATCACACAATGCTAATAATGATACTACATAATACTAATCTTTTTATTAGAGACATGATAAACAAATTATCGATCAAAGAGGAGAAAAGAATAGATATAAAAAAGTCAATAACAAATCAATGGTAGGCATTTGATAATAGTTTGAACCATAAGTTCAAAACAATATTAGATTCCTTATTATAAGAAGAACCAGAAGAAAATATAAGTGAAGTTCAAGTAAATAAAATATAAAAGACATTCGAAAAGCTAGTTAACAAGGCAACCTTCAACAAGCTTGCAACCAAAAACATATCAATCTCAAGAATTAAGCACTATAGATATAGTCCAGAGTTCATCAAATTCAAAAGAGTATTACAATTAATAATACTCTTCAAAAAAGTAGAGTCTTCTAACAATTTGGACAATCTACAGATTCTTAATGCAACCATAAAAAAATATAATAGAGCTCATAGCCCTAATTACCAGATTGAAAACTGTTGTATCTAATATAGTCTTCCAAATATCTCATAGACACTATTAAAAAAATATATATAAGACACAATAGAAGATTTTAAATTTACTTATTAGAACCTTAAAGCAAAAAAGGCTAAAAATACAATTAAAATAGCCTTAGAACAAAAATGTGAAAATCTATGAAATAATTAAAAAAAAATAGTAAACTCACTAACAGAAAGAGAATGTATCAAAATAGTTTAGAATAAGATCAAAGTTAAAAAAGAAAAATCTAAATATATCATAATCAAAAAAAGTGAAATTGAGAAAGAAGTTAGAAAATACCATCAGGAAACCTTCAGAAAGTGAGAGGCCAACTTTAATAATTTCACTAATGACTGAAAAGAAGAATATAATTCCAAGAATTATATCAAGACATGGTGATATAATGATCTTTTAGATCCTATTTCATAAGAAAAATTGAGTGAAACACTTCAAACAATTCTCAATAACAAAGCTCCAAGAAAATCGCAAATCATTTATGAAATATTAAAAAGATTAGGTTAAGATAGAAAAGAATATTTAAGAAAAATGTTAAACATTTTTTTAAAATGTCAAATAACACCTGCTAGTCGAAAACAAAACCATATTTATCCAATAGCAAAACCAAAGCCATAGGAATGTGATCTCCTAAATACAAGATCTATTGTATTACTAGAAGTCACAAAAAAATATTTCACGAAAATTCTAATGAATAGACTAGGAAATATTTGCAAGTTTAACAATATTCTAAAAGATCTTAACTTTGTGAAGCTACTAGGAAAAAATACTATTGAACTGATTCAGATTCTCAATAATATCTATGAAGATACAAGAGAAATCAAGAAGAAGTTGTTGATACTTTTCCAAGATACAGCCAAGACCTATGATACAATCAGCTTGAATATGTTAACAAGGGCAATGAAAAGGATCAAACTTTCAAAAGGGTTCATTAAGATTATAATAGGTCTGTTTTGAGATAGGGAATTTAAAATTATAATCAAAAATAGACTCACAAGATCAGTAATAACTAGAGATGGTATTGACCAAGGAGAAACTATTTTATCTCTAATATAGAAAATTTTTTATGATCCTTTGTTGTGTAAAATTTAAAATAATAAAATAAAGGATTATTAAATGTTAGTCACTTGAAATCCAGGCCTAAAAGGAGAAGAAGTCAACAAAAAATTAAAATCTAGGCATATAACTATTGCTTTTATGAATGACACTATATGAGTAGCAAGATCCAAAGAAAATATGGAAAAGATTCTGGAAAAAGTAAGAATCTTTTATAGAACCAATGACTCCCAAATTAATAGTAACAAATCAGTACTAGTTAGTATTAATAACCCTAATCACTATCCAAAAAAAGTCAAAGCAAGAATCAATAGTGAAACAGTTAGAGGTCTAGATAGAACTGAACATACAAGATTTCTGAAAATCTGAACTAGTAATCAAAAGACAATGGTTAAACTAAAAGAATAAATACTCAGAAAGATCAACACAATTATATGAGCCCTAAAGAATAAAAGATTAACCAACAAACAAATGCTTTATATTTTAAACAGGATATTAATATTAAGGATAGAGTTTTGTATGTAATATAGTATATTATCTTGAAAAATGTGTAATATTTTAACCATGACATATAGAAAGTTCTTTAAAAATAAGAGTAACTTGTGTAGATCCATACCCAACAGCGTAGTACACTATCCAAAGATCTATAACTTAAAAAGTATTTGGATACTATAAAAGAAAAACCAAATAATAGGACTATGTAACAGATTAAATGATTCAGGACCAACAGGACTTTTAACAATCATTAGAATCAAACAAGCACAAGTTAAATACTGGGAACTATGTAATCTGCTTATCTGTGAGTCATTATATCATATATCAGGTAGAGGTAACTTTGTACTTCAAATAATGATGTTGGTCAAAGATATAGAAAGAAAATTTCAAAGCTGGAAACAACAAGACATTTTTGAATGAGACAAAGATAATTGCTCAATAAAAGAGTATCTAGTATCAGATGAATATACAAAAGCTATATCATTACTTAGAAACAATAAATTGATATACATGGATCAACCAATCATCTATGAAACTAAAGAACTAAAAAAATAATGAATAATCCAACTAATTCAGAAGATCAGTAAGAAGCCCATTCCAGAGTAATATCTAGTGATAAAAAGGAGTATACAAGAAAAAGGCCCAAGACAACTAAGAAAATTCTGAAAAGAAGACTAGTTAAATGGAATCCAATAATTATAAAGATAAATTCAGATCATAATAAAAGACAAGCACTCCCCGCTGATCCACATTTTTTCAAAAAATTTCCTTTTTTGATAATTTTCTTGAAAAAACTCACAAAAACTCTTCTACACAAGAAAAAGCCTCAAAGAATACAACTATATACTTCTAGGCAACAAAATCTATTTGATAACAATAGGAAAAGAGTTTCGCTCAGCCTGAAAGACAAAAATCTTTAGATTATTTTTTGCTTTTAAGAAGAAGAAAAAGCAAAAACAAGCTGATTCACCGTAGGCTTCTTGAGACCCAACCTCAACTCCACAAAGTTCTTAGCCAGGCCAGTACAGATTAACACCTTTCTAGGCACTAAGAGAAGTCTCAGAAGCAATAGATTAAACTGATAAATCAGCACAACCTCAAAG